TTTAATTTTAAATGAGTTCTTATATATATATATATATAATATATATATATATATATATATATATATATATATATATGCAATAAGATTTCAGAGTGGTTGTTTTGCATATATATATATATATATATATATATATATATATATATATATATATATATATATATATATATATATATATATATATATATACATGTCGTGCCGAATATGTAAAACTGGTCAATTAGCAAGAACTCATTTAAAATTAAGTCCTTTCTAAAATTTTCTCTTATACATTTAAAGATACGTTTTTTCATTAATGTTAATGTAAGAATTTATAATTTTGCACCAAAAGAATCTTAGAAAACTTACCTAACCTTATTATAACAAGCGCAATTTATTTTAGCCTAATCCAACTAAATATATTTTAAATACGTTTACAATAATTTAATACTAAACACAGTGAAATATACTTTTTTTCGTTAGGTTCAGAATGATTTTGGCGAAATTATTGCATACACAAAATTTCGCTTGTCCTATATGGCAAGATGAGCGTTGCTGTTTAAGCCAAGATCGCAAGTTCTGCCTATTCGACACGACATATATATAATTTAAAAGGCCTGGTATGATTTAGGCCCCAGGGGAGAGCCGACGATCTGTGGGACCATTAACAGGTATTCACCTGTTATATACCTATTATCAGTTTCTAGTCTTTCTACTCCCGCAGTCTGATCTGAAGCCAGGACTGTCTGGTATTAACAGGTCAATAACAGCTTCACTGAAGCCTGAAAATCACAACACAGTGGCTGCAACAACTCATAAATAAACCAGGCATTTTGGAGGAACCTTTAGACGAGGTTTCCGTCCATCCAGAGTAATGGTTGCTAGTGAAAAAAAATCTTAACGTTTTGGAGTATATCGAGTGGTTGATAAATGATAGTTCGAGAAAACACACACAAACCCTGACTCATGCACTTAACTCAGTCCTCATAACCACAACACTACAAGTGTCATGAAGCATTGTGTCGTCCATTTTGTTAGTGTCAGTGCTAGCTAGTGTCCACTGTGTCAGTATCAGTGCTAGCATCCACTGTATCAGTGTCAGTGCTAGCATCCACTGTATCAGTGTCAGTGCTAGCATCCACTGTATCAGTGTCAGTGCTAGCATCAACTGTATCAGTGTCAGTGCTAGCATCAACTGTATCAGTGTCAGTGCTAGCATCCCTGTATCAGTGTCAGTGCTAGCATCCACTGTATCAGTGTCAGTGCTAGCATCCACTGTATCAGTGTCAGTGCTAGCATCCACTGTATCAGTGTCAGTGCTAGCATCCACTGTATCAGTGTCAGTGCTAGCATCCACTGCGTCAGTGCTAGCATTCACTGTATCAGTGTCAGTGCTAGCATCCACTGCGTCAGTGCTAGCATCCACAGTATCAGTGTCAGTGCTAGCATCCACTGTATCAGTGTTAGCGCCCATTGTCAGTGATAGCTAGCGTCCACTGTGTCAGTGCCAGAAGCTAGGTCAGTGACTGTAGGTGTCAGGGACAGGAAGTATCCTCCATGCATCCTGAGTGAACTTCTTGCCACATACCATGGAGAATGGGACTGTGTCACATCCGCTCATGGTGCGAGAGACGCACATTGCTGTTATATTCATGGAGGAAGCGCTAAATCCTTATGAGTCATGCATCGCCTGGGGAATGGTAAGTAATCAGGTCTGAGTTTGAGTTCAGTTTTACAACACTGTTTACAGTCTTGTAACTCAGTGTTAGTCCAGATTAATTTGATAAACAAGAAACTTTCAGCAAACATTAAATTCTATGGAGACGTAGCCTAGATCGAGGAGTTATCCTACAATAATTAAAACACATGGAAATATCCCAACTCCATAAAAGTGACAGAAAAGTAATCGCAAAGGAAACCTATGGACCAACAGCACTAACGTCCCACATTATCAAAAATGTTGGAGTGTGTTTTAAGAAGCAAAACTGGTAGCTACTAGTAACCACAGCTGAACAACCTAGGGCAACCTGAATTCAGAATAGGTCGCTCCTGTCACTAAACTGCTGCACCATTATATGGTTTACGATGCACCAGAAGACAAGCAAATAATAGTAGTGTACAAAGACTATAAAAGCAATCGACAAGTGTGACCATGGTGTAATAGTCTCTTCCTCAAGGCACAGTACCCTTTCTCATCCTCATATGCGACATAAACGGAGCCATAAATCATAGCTTAGAACCATCTTTAGCAGACCAAACTAGAATTTGTATGAGTGTGGCATCCAATGATAACACTACAAGTGTTATCATTGGATAAAGGCTACAAGTGTTATCATTGGATAAAGGCTAAATTAAGGCTAAACTCGAAAGGGTTTAGTCTTAATTTAAATTAGTGAGCAACAGAAAAAACAAGTTTTCCAATTGAGGACAAATTTCAATTATTCTGCTAAGGAAAATTTTAAGAATCAAATAATGTAAAGAGTTAAGGAATACCGTCAGAGAATCTTACGTTCATTATTACAACATTGTTATTATTACAAGGAAAATGATAGGCTGGATAACCAGAGCCTTCAAAACAAGAGATGTCATGGCCAATGATTATACTCTTTTTTTTTTTTTTTAATCATTGCTCTATAGACTGAAACATTGTACACACTAACAGTCAGGAAAAGGCAGGCGAAATTACAGTTCTGGAGAAAGTATAGAGAACCTTCACTGCTCATATAAATTCAACCAAACACCTATATTAGTGGGAATACACGAAGTCCCTTGAACCGTACCACTTTAAACCCAGGAGAGGGAAAAATAAGTCATAATTTACACCTGAAAAAGAGGAATTAATCCCAAATCTGCTCACCAAAATTACTTCCTACGAGAGGCTTGCCAGACAGTTCTTTGTGCTTGCGTGTGTTCACCGATTTGTGTTCATTTATCTGTGCTTGTGGGGGTCAAGTCTCAGCTTCTGTAACCATCTTTTGACTTTCAATAGCCTGGCACCTTTTCAAAATATGTACTCCCAATTAAAAAGACTGGGGTACTCAGTTAACATAAAGAGCACAAGATATTTTCAACAACCTTCATATGTAAGAGGAATTACTGAGAGGACTCCTAGCAGCCTTCCTAAGGAAACGTCATAAGTTCCTCGAATCGGTTCATGGTCAGCAGGGCTGTGGTGCCTACGTTGGGATGCAAGCAACTAGCACCAACAGCCTAATTTATCAGACCATCAACCACGAGGCCTGATCTGGGACCGGACCGTGGGGGGAAGGGTGTCACCCCTGGAAGCCACTACAAGCAACATTATCCATGCCTACAGTTCTGACACCAACTTTCTTGAGGCCAGTTTCCTCACGGTAATTCACTCGGAATACAATCTTGGTATTAGCACGGCTGGCTTCTTCGACAGGAAGCTTGTTGTACAGGTGAAACGTTTCACTAATAGCTACCCAAGTGTTGTACATGTATCTTATTCATCAACTTGTCGGTACTGTATGCCATCAGTGATATAAAGAATTTTACTAGCAGTTAGACTAAGAGCCGCAACTGACCCTGTTGTCCTTGAGTCTTGGAGACGAAGTCAATACCAGCAATAATTCAAGTTTCTACTGCATACACTGGATCATCTACTTCATACATTAAACCAAGCTTCTTATGCATACACTGGATCATCTACTTCATACATTAAACCAAGCTTCTTATGCATACACTGGATCATCTACTTCATACATTAAATCAAACTTCTACTGCATACACTGGATCATCTACTTCATACATTAAACCAAGCTTCTTATGCATACACTGGATCATCTACTTCATACATTAAATCAAACTTCTACTGCATACACTGGATCATCTATTTCATACATTAAACCAAGCTTCTACTGCATACACTGGATCATCTACTTCATACATTAAACCAAGCTTCTACTGCATACACTGGATCATCTACTTCATACATTAAACCAAGCTTCTACTGCATACACTGGATCATCTACTTCATACATTAAACCAAGCTTCTTATGCATACACTGGATCATCTACTTCATACATTAAATCAAGCTTCTACTGCATACACTGGATCATCTACTTCATACATTAAATCAAGCTTCTACTGCATACACTGGATCATCTACTTCATACATTAAATCAAGCTTCTACTGCATACACTGGATCATCTATTTCATACATTAAACCAAGCTTCTACTGCATACACTGGATCATCTACTTCACACACTGAAGTGAAGAAATTTCATCACCATGCATGATAATTCATACTTAATACACAATCTTCAAAACTCAAGGTATTCATTTCCTTCACTTCAACAGGTGAAAGTAAATGGGGGAACTAAACAGTGAAAAAAACGTTGAGGTGTGAGGTGAAGAGTGTTGGAACTTAATATTGTCTTAAATACAGGTGTACTGAGATCAGTGGTGGCCAGTGTCTGCTGTCTACCGCACCTCTACCACAGTGCCTGCAGTCTACCGCACTTTTACACAGTGCCTGCTGTCTACCGCCCCTCTACCACAGTGCATACAGTCTACCGCACCTCTACCACAGTGCCTGCTGTCTACCGCACCTCTACTACAGTGCCTGTTGTCTACCGCCCCTCTACCACAGTGCCTGCAGTCTACCGCACCTCTACCACAGTGCCTGCAGTCTACCGCCCCTCTACCACAGTGCCTGCAGTCTACCGCACCTCTACCACAGTGCCTGCAGTCTACACACACCTCTACCACAGTGCCTGCAGTCTACCGCACCTCTACCATCAGTGCCTGCAGTCTACCGCACCTCTACCACAGTGCCTGCAGTCTACCGCACCTCTACCACAGTGCCTGCTGTCTACCGCACCTCTACCACAGTGCCTGCAGTCTACCGCACCTCTACCACAGTGTCTGCTGTCTACCGCACCTCTACCACAGTGTCTGCTGTCTACCGAACCTCTACCACAGTGTCTGCTCTCTACAGAACCTCTACCACAGTGCCTGCTGTCTGTCGCACCTCCATCACAGTGCCTGCAGTCTACCGCACCTCTACCACAGTGTCTGCTGTCTGCCGCACCTCCACCACAGTGCCTGCTGTCTGCCGCACCTCCACCACAGTGCAAGTTGTCTGCCGCACCTCCAACACAATGCCTGCTGTCTCCCGCACCTCCACCGCAGTGCCTGATGTCTGCCGCACCTCCACAGTGCCTGCTGTCTGCCGCATCTCCACAGTGCCTGCTGTCTACCGCACCTCTACCACAGTGCCTGCTGTATACCGCACTTCTACCACAGTGCTTGCTGTCTAACGCACCTCTGCCACAGTGCCTGCTGTCTGCCGCACCTCTACACCAGTGCCTGCTGTTTGCCGCACCTCTACACCAGTGCCTGCTGTCTGCCGCACCTCTACACCAGTGCTTGCTGTCTACCGCACCTCTACCACAGTGCCTGCAGTCTACCGCACCTCTACCACAGTGCCTGCAGTCTACCGCACCTCTACCACAGTGCCTGCTGTCTACCGCACCTCTACCACAGTGCCTGCAGTCTACCGCACCTCTACCACAGTGCCTGCTGTCTACAGAACCTCTACCACAGTGCCTGCAGTCTACTGCACCTCTACCACAGTGCCTGCTGTCTACCGCACCTCTACCACAGTGCCTGCTGTCTACAGAACCTCTACCACAGTGCCTGCTGTCTACCGCACCTCTACTACAGTGCCTGCTGTCTACAGAACCTCTACCACAGTGCCTGCTGTCTACCGCACCTCTACTACAGTGCCTGCAGTCTACTGCACCTCTACCACAGTGCCTGCTGTCTACCGCACCTCTACCACAGTGCCTGCTGTCTACAGAACCTCTACCACAGTGCCTGCTGTCTACCGCACCTCTACTACAGTGCCTGCAGTCTACTGCACCTCTACCACAGTGCCTGCAGTCTACTGCACCTCTACCACGTGCCTGCTGTCTACCGCACCTCTACTACAGTGCTGCTGTCTACAGAACCTCTACCACAGTGCCTGCTGTCTACCGCACCTCTACTACAGTGCCTGCAGTCTACTGCACCTCTACCACAGTGCCTGCAGTCTACTGCACCTCTACCACAGTGCCTGCTATCTACCGCACCTCTACCACAGTGCCTGCTGTCTGTCGCACCTCTAACACAGTGCCTGCTGTCTGCCGCACCTCCAACACAGTGCCTGCTGTCTGCCGCACCTCCACCACAGTGCCTGCTGTCTGCCGCACCTCCACCACAGTGCCTGCTGTCTGCCGCACCTCCACCACAGTGCTGCTGTCTGCCGCACCTCCCACCACAGTGCCTGCTGTCTGCCGCACCTCCACCACAGTGCCTGCTGTCTGCCGCACCTCCACCACAGTGCCTGCTGTCTGCCGCACCTCTGCCACAGTGCCTGCTGTCTGCCGCACCTCTACACCAGTACCTGCTGTCTGCCGCACCTCTACACCAGTGCCTGCTGTCTGCAGCACCTCTACAACAGTGCCTGCTGTCTGCCGCGCCTCTACAACAGTGCCTGCTGTCTCCCGCACCTCTACCACAGTGCCTGGTGCACAAGTGAATTTAGGCTACTTAATGGGGCTGTCACCAACAAGCCTGCTGTACTGTAGCTGTCACAAGCAAGGCTACTGTACAGTTGCTGTCACCAGCAATGCGGCTGTACTGTTGCTAACACCAACAAGGCTGCAGTACTGGTGCTGTCACCAACAAGGCTGCAGTACTGGTGCTTTCTCCAGCAAGGCTGCAATACTGTTGCTTTCTCCAGCAAGGCTGCAGTACTGTTGCTCTCTCCAGCAAGGCTGCAGTACTGTTGCTGTCACCAGCAAGGCTGCAATACTGTTGCTGTCACCAGCAAGGCTGCAATACTGTTGCTGTCACCAGCAAGGCTGCAATACTGTTGCTGTCACCAGCAAGGCTGCAATACTGTTGCTGTCACCAGCAAGGCTGCAATACTGTTGCTGTCACCAGCAAGGATGCTGTATTGTTGCTGTCACCAACAAGGCTGCAATACTGTTGCTGTCACCAGCAAGGCTGCTGTACTGTTGCTGTCACCAGCAAGGCTGCTGTACTGTTGCTGTCACCAGCAAGGCTGCTGTACTGTTGCTTTCACCAACAAGGCTGCAGTACTGTTGCTGTCATCAGCAAGGCTGCAATACTGTTGCTGTCACCAACAAGGCTGCAGTACTGTTGCTGTCACCAGCAAGGCTGCAATACTGTTGCTGTCACCAACAAGGCTGCAGTACTGTTGCTGTCATCAGCAAGGCTGCGGTACTGTTGCTGTCCCCAACAAGGCTACAGTACTGTTGCTGTCACCATCAAGGCTGCTGTACTGTTGCTGTCCCCAACAAGGCTGCAGTACTGTTGCTGTCCCCAACAAGGCTGCTGTACTGTTGCTGTCACCATCAAGGCTGCTGTACTGTTGCTGTCCCCAACAAGGCTGCAGTACTGTTGCTGTGTCCCCAACAAGGCTGCAGTACTGTTGCTGTCCCCAACAAGGCTGCAGTACTGTTTGCTGTCCCCAACAAGGCTGCTGTACTGTTGCTGTCACCAGCAAGGCTGCTGTACTGTTGCTGTCACCAGCAAGGCTGCTGTACTGTTGTTGTCACCAGCAAGGCTGCTGTACTGTTGCTGTCCCCAACAAGGCTGCAGTACTGTTGCTGTCACCATCAAGGCTGCTGTACTGTTGCTGTCCCCAACAAGGCTGCAGTACTGTTGCTGTCCCCAACAAGGCTGCTGTACTGTTGCTGTCCCCAACAAGGCTGCTGTACTGTTGCTGTCCCCAACAAGGCTGCTGTACTGTTGCTGTCCCCAACAAGGCTGCAGTACTGTTGCTGTCCCCAACAAGGCTGCAGTACTGTTGCTGTCCCCAACAAGGCTGCTGTACTGTTGCTGTCCCCAACAAGGCTGCAGTACTGTTGCTGTCACCATCAAGGCTGCTGTACTGTTGCTGTCCCCAACAAGGCTGCTGTACTGTTGCTGTCCCCAACAAGGCTGCTGTACTGTTGCTGTCCCCAACAAGGCTGCTGTACTGTTGCTGTCACCAGCAAGGCTGCAGTACTGTTGCTGTCACCAGCAAGGCTGCTGTACTGTTGCTGTCCCCAACAAGGCTGCAGTACTGTTGCTGTCACCAGCAAGGCTGCTGTACTGTTGTTGTCACGAGCAAGGCTGCTGTACTGTTGCTGTCCCCAACAAGGCTGCAGTACTGTTGCTGTCACCAGCAAGGCTGCTGTACTGTTGCTGTCCCCAACAAGGCTGCAGTACTGTTGCTGTCCCCAACAAGGCTGCTGTACTGTTGCTGTCCCCAACAAGGCTGCTGTACTGTTGCTGTCCCCAACAAGGCTGCTGTACTGTTGCTGTCCCCAACAAGGCTGCAGTACTGTTGCTGTCCCCAACAAGGCTGCAGTACTGTTGCTGTCACTAGCAAGGGTGCTGTACTGTTGCTGTCACCAGCAAGGCTGCTGTACTGTTGCTGTCCCCAACAAGGCTGCAGTACTGTTGCTGTCCCCAACAAGGCTGCAGTACTGTTGCTGTCCCCAACAAGGCTGCTGTACTGTTGCTGTCACCAGCAAGGCTGCTGTACTGTTGCTGTCACCAGCAAGGCTGCTGTACTGTTGCTGTCACCAGCAAGGCTGCTGTACTGTTGCTGTCACCAGCAAGGCTGCTGTACTGTTGCTGTCCCCAACACGGCTGCAGTACTGTTGCTGTCACCATCAAGGCTGCTGTACTGTTGCTGTCCCCAACAAGGCTGCAGTACTGTTGCTGTCCCCAACAAGGCTGCTGTACTGTTGCTGTCACCATCAAGGCTGCTGTACTGTTGCTGTCCCCAACAAGGCTGCAGTACTGTTGCTGTCCCCAACAAGGCTGCAGTACTGTTGCTGTCCCCAACAAGGCTGCAGTACTGTTGCTGTCACCAGCAAGGCTGCTGTACTGTTGCTGTCACCAGCAAGGCTGCTGTACTGTTGCTGTCACCAGCAAGGCTGCAGTACTGTTGCTGTCCCCAACAAGGCTGCAGTAACTGTTGCTGTCCCAACAAGGCTTCAGTACTGTTGCTGTCACCAGCAAGGCTGCTGTACTGTTGCTGTCACCAGCAAGGCTGCAGTACTGTTGCTGTCCCCAACAAGGCTGCAGTACTGTTGCTGTCACCAGCAAGGCTGCAGTACTGTTGCTGTCACCAGCAAGGCTGCTGTACTGTTGCTGTCACCAGCAAGGCTGCAGTACTGTTGCTGTCACCAGCAAGGCTGCAGTACTGTTGCTGTCACCAGCAAGGCTGCTGTACTGTTGCTGTCACCAGCAAGGCTGCAGTACTGTTGCTGTCACCAGCAAGGCTGCAGTACTGTTGCTGTCACCAGCAAGGCTGCTGTACTGTTGCTGTCACCAGCAAGGCTGCTGTACTGTTGCTGTCACCAGCAAGGCTGCTGTACTGTTGCTGTCACCAGCAAGGCTGCTGTACTGTTGCTGTCACCAGCAGGCTGCTGTACTGTTGCTGTCACCAGCAAGGCTGCTGTACTGTTGCTGTCACCCGCAAGGCTGCTGTACTGTTGCTGTCACCAGCAGGCTGCTGTACTGTTGTGTCACCAGCAAGGCTGCTGTACTGTTGCTGTCACCAGCAAGGCTGCTGTACTGTTGCTGTCACCAGCAAGGCTGCAGTACTGTTGCTGTCACCAGCAAGGCTGCTGTACTGTTGCTGTCACCAGCAAGGCTGCTGTACTGTTGCTGTCACCAGCAAGGCTACTGTACTGTTGCACTGTAACTTACACAATATGACGCAGCTTATATCCGCCCGTCTTCAAGGAGCCTTCCTAGAAAGTTCTGTATCTTGGCTCATCAGTTTCCAAAGGACAGCTTCTCCTCCATTGTGTGGTAACTGCGCCACAGTAACGTGGTAAACAGCATGCTGTCACCTGGTGGACATAGCTTGACCTAGTTACATGTGAACCTAACACCAGAACAATCACAGCTACCCCTGGTGTTGCTACTTCTGCCTCTACCTAAGTTGTGCCCCAACTTTCATCTTCTAGATAAGCTACTCACGCCCTGAACATATCCTCGCGCCCCAGCCTTGTTTTGCTCTGAGAGGAATATAACTATTTGTTTGGTAGTTTTTGGTAGATTATTGGATTCAGTGGGAAGTGCTAAATCCGTAGGGAACACACGGCAAACAGGAAATAGGATCTATGATCTATAAGGTTGTAGAACTGCTATAAAACTACATATACT